ACCTTGCTGGGGTCACCTGACCCCCAGTTATCCTTTCCTGCTTGGTGCAGGAGGTTGGCCCTGATGATCTTCCAAGGTCCTTTCTGGCCTTACAATCTATGAACCTATGACTCTATTAACTGGGACAGTTAATAAACCAGTCTGGCTCTCCAAACTTACTCCAGGAAAGCACTCATACATATGATGAATATTGAGTATTTTACTGAAGCCAAAGGGACTACTCAATAGCTAATTACCTATGATTCAGTGTTTAATTGAATCCAAACCTTAATAGCCAATCAAAACTTATGTAGTCAACTACTTCTTCCTAAATACCAAGTGTTTAATTGTGTAATTAGGAATTTTCTTCATATACTGAACAAACAAACAAAAAAAAGCTCTAAGGTTCGGGACAGAAGTTACACATAAACTGAATTAAGTCATCAGAAACTGGTTTTAACCTGTAACAGAACAGAAGTTCAGTGCACATAAACCAGTTTCAAAATGGCTGACACTGGTTTAAGATGAACCTGGTTGAATGCAGTATCAGACTTAACTGATTTGGGTCAAACCAGTTTATGAAACTTCTGTCCCACACCCCTTCCTGGTTCAAGTTAAATCAGAGTTCCCCAGCATCCCAGCATTTTGTAGCCCTGGGCTGGGCTGCACTGCCTGCTCCAGCAGAGAAGGGTTGTGAGGTGGTGGGGCAGGGACTTCCCTCTCCCCAGGCAAACCCCAGCTGCGGTTGAGGGCCAGGGATGGAGGTTAAACTTCCCTTTTCCCGAGTACAGAGCTGCCCTGCCCTGCTCTGCTAAGAACTTACTGCTGGCTGCAACTGCAGACTACAAATTGCAGAGGTACCTGGAAGCAGGAAGAGGAAGAGATGAGCAACCCTGCAGAGTCCTTCTGCTGTGATTCTGGAATACAAATCCCAGAGAGCTTGGGGGCAGCACAAAGAGGAAGCAAACACACATCCTATGCAGGCTATATGCCAGAGAGGTGTGGTCTAGCACCCCCTAGCTTCTGGCCTGAGCCATGCAGATATGTGGCTGCATTTCCTGAATCAGAAATGAATGTCTGTCTACTTGTTTCTCAATTTAATCTCAGCAGCTTAGACTAACATTCAAAGACTGAATTGATTCAGCCCTGGGCGTTTTAACTGTCTGTACTTAACCTAACGGTCTGTAACCCTTTACGTCCAACTACAGGATGGCCATATAAGCACTAGTATGCCTTTCCTCGTACATTACATAAGGGTCTGCTACAATACTTATTTTCTCCAAAGATCCGAGTACAGAACATTAAATTGAATTCCCATAACTTGTTAGTGTAAGGTCACCTTGTATATACTGTTCACAGTAACTAAACCAACTGCTTAAAATTCATAAGTACAAGTCTTAAAAAGCAAGTAAATACTGAAGTAGGAAAGGAAGCATGATATATGTAACATGACATATGTTTGTGTGCAACGTAATAAAGCAAGCTGTGGGAGGCCTACTGCATTTTGGAGATACAGCCAGATCATATTCAAATTTGCTAAAACTGCTATAGGAGATGAGCATTTTAAATATATGAAGCCTGATCATTTTTCCTTATACGATTGGTACAAAAGCAAATATATGAAATTGCCTTCTTTTGGTCTAAAAACATCTTTCTTTCAAAAAAAAAAAAAAAAAGAAAGAAAAGGAAGAAACTGTTGCTAACAACACGTAAAAATAATTCAGAAACTGTATAACTCAGATACCCAAATCCAGTGAGATCAGTGGCCATCTTTATTTTAAGCCTCTAGAAGATGTATAAATAAAGGTGTGATGGGAGATGCAGGATCCCCATAATCACACTTCCTACCATGCCACAGGTTCATGGGAGGAGGTATGGCTGTGGAATCCAGCATCAGATCCCATCACATCTTATTGCTGGTGCAGGAGGAGCCAGGGATCATGATCCTGGGTTCCCCCTGCACCGACGAACACCAAGCTCCCACATTGTACATCCCTGCAGCTGGGAGCTCCAGCCTGGGCACAAATTCACTTAATGGTGTGCTAGGAACCAGTCACAAAGTGATTACACATTTTTTGCATAAGAACTTGTGGCTTATTCTTTGTTTTATCATGCCATTAACTGCTTTAACATGTAAATAGGTTACAACATAAGTTGTGGTTAATTGGTAGTCTAAGTTTAACATGTACTAGGGGTCTTAGATCCTGTTCCTATAGGCTCTGACTTGAGGAGAATATCCAGGTCTGTAGCCAAGTCAGAGCTTTGGAGCTTCCTCATTTCTGTACATGTGGCACTTTGCAGCATAGGCAAGGAAGTGAAGGCCCAGACAGAGTGTGTTATGTGAACAAGCTCACTAGAGGCGTTCTGTCGACACTCTGCTCCTTTGTTTCAGTAACAATAGTTGGACATAAATATTTTACCTTGGTTACTGTTTGATTATTTGGATACTGAAACACATTTGCATCCCAGAATAGACACAGCGGGAGTGAAATCTTTTAAGAAAAAAAGCTGCTTCAAAATTAAATGGAGAATTTCAAGAGCCATATGGATATTTAGGTTGACATGACAATCAACAAGGCAATGCTTGTTCATTCTTCTTTACAGGGAGGCAATTCAAATCCCAAACAAAGTGGATATCCTGAAATCACTCTGCAGGGAGTCTTCTTTTAGAAAGGGCTGCATCCTTGGGAACTTCCCTAACTCTGAAATGTAAAAGAGCCCAAGGCAGTTAACAGGGGTGTTTGCAAAATAAGATACTGATTAACTCAAGCCAAATATGGACAAACATACATTTTAACCACTTTAAAAGGGAGGGCCAGTCATTCCTCAGAAGCAAGAATCAGCTGTTCTATCTGCTTATCTACCTGGGTCCTATGAATTAATTCAGAGATGTCAAACCCACCTGAGACCCCAGACTGGAGTCAGACCATTGGGCTCCCAGTCTGGAATGTGGGTTCAGCCGCCATGGCCATCGCAGTGGCAGTGAGTCTGGAGATGGTAGTGGTGGGTGTGGGAGAGGGGATATGAATGCATAGCAATACTTGAGGAGTGGCAGCAACAAGCAAACTTGCTGCTGGTGGCCATGGCCAGCAGGGCCTCCATGGCAGGCCATAGCTCCAGGCAGGCCAGATGGAGAAGTTCCATAATCCATATTATTGGCATTGCTGAGTTAGTTAAATCACTCTAACTTTGAAATGAATGAAACATGACTACACAGGTATCATGGCAGAATCATGCAGACGTAACAGTTGCATTGTAACAGCTTATATTTGTTTCCTTTGGTAACACAATTGTCACATCTGTCTATATGTTTAGATTTAGGCTTCAAATAATTTTAATTTCTTTTTACTTTTTTCAAGTGCAAGTGGTGGGTCTTTTATTTTTCCTCCAAGTCTGTTATTAAAAGAAAATCCACTTTGGAGTGCAGTTCTGAGCCAATAATAAATCAGAGCAGAAGTAGGCCCGAGGAAGCCAGAATAAGAAGGGGTGCCCCAATAGATAAGCTAAACCAGAACTGATTAATTCTATTTAGAGCCTTGATAACTGAAGTTCAGGTATTCACATGCACATGGAAGGCCTAATCCTACTTCGACTGAAATTGATTTCCAAATCCTACTGATTACATATTCCAGGGTCTGCCCAGAACCATTCATTTAGAGCAAGTTCTTGTTTTTCCTTTTTAGTGCAGATTTTTGTGCTATACACATGTGAACTGCAATTGTTTGAAGTCATATCCTGCACCCTTTACTCAAGCTAAAGCTCTTTATCTTCATTCTTAGAAAATCAGAAGGAGGAAAAAACACAGGTAGCAAAATTTAGCTCTTGAATTTTGGTAAGGAAGAAGCCTTGTGAGAGACACAAAAATACACAGAACAACTTCTTCCTAGTTTAAAGGAAGGTGCACATAGATTTCTTCAAGAAATAAAATGAGGTGCTGTCAGTAAAGCTACTGAATCCATTCTGTTGCAGCACAACACTAATTGCTGCAGTCTACCTTAACAACTGAGCGAATCTCAGATAGACACATCCTGTGTATCTGTTCACAGGGATGTTGTAGTGTACTGCCTATTTGGCTGCCAGAAATAAGGTTATCATCATTCAAGGACATTTCCACAGAAATGAAGCATCTGTCAAGCAGGACTTCAGTGCCCCAAATGTAAGAAGCTGAGAATGAGTCAGCTAGACACAGGGCTTATATATTCTAGCCTTATATATTTTATTTAAAGCAATTCAAAAGCTTCTTTACATCCAATGTTGTTAAAAGTGACGTTATGTACAGATTGCAGGTTTGTGCTTTCATTTTAGAAAACTATGGACAATTCTGTATGCAAGAAGTCTCACCTCAGGGGAACTACTCATACCAGTAATAGGACATCAGAAAATCAAAGACTGTGAGAGGTTAAAGACTGACGGCAGAAGCACTAAGCAGCAGAACCAAACCATTTTTAAAGTCTGTAAGGTTTTCCTGGCTCCATATTGTCAGTAGTGTCCTTCTCCTAAGCCCAACAGTCAAGATCAAATTCTCATGTAACACAAGCATAAATGACTGTTTTAAGATTAATGACATGCAGAAGGTAAAAAACGGAGAGCTAATGAATACCTTGTCCATGTAGACTTGAAATTAAAATATTACAGAGCATCACATGTGACTGATATGATTATCAGCCCTTGTTTTAGAAAATTCTTTACTGTCACTCCAGCACCCTCAGTGTTGTGTCTTTTGGCAAGTTTGCAAGAGATGCTGTGAACTTTTAAGCACAAAATGAAATGTGTGCAATTTGAAGATTGCAACTTGTTAAGGAGTGCTTTATGGGACCATCTCAACAAGATAGTCAACATCTTAGGACATACTTTGCCTGAGCAACATTTAATGCCAGTGGACACATGCTATGAAGAAAATTAATAGGTAAAAGAACAGGTTACTAGTTACTGAAATTTGGAAGCTTTTGTAGCAACAAAGTGCCACCTGCTCATACCTAAATTATCCAGTTTAAGTTCATAGAATCAGATTTCTTACTCACCTTCATCCATTGGTAACTTGCTGCCAATTTATATAACATATTCCACCCATTGGAATGGCTGCTTAATGAGTCTGTGATGATAGTGCAGATATATGTTTTGTGCTGCCACTTATCCAATAGCTCAGTTCTTGCTGCAAAGAATGAAAAGCTCATTTGAAATCACAGGCAACATTGCAGCCACAATAAAACAAAAGACCCCTCCACCATCCCCAAAACACCCTAATTTTTAAGCCACTCATACAGCTCAATGATATTTGGAGACTGGTAGATATTTTATATATATATATTCTTATATATATATGTGTGGGGGGGGGGTGTATACACACACACACACGCTAGTGACAGAATTAACAAGAAATGTTATCCACACAGGCCTTTATTGGAAAAATGTTCCCATAATTAAAGTTCTGGAGGTCATATCAATATCCTCTCATATCTTTCTCTCTACCTCCTGGACAAATAGGATCTATCAGGAAAAAATGTGCTCTGGAAACATTATTCAATGCAACAGACACTGTAGAAAAAAAAAAAAAAGTAACAGTACAGTTGCAATTCAAGTGTTGTTGGCCAATAGGAAGATGCTTCCAGCATTTCTAAGTGCTTTAAGGCATATTAGAAAATCAGTTACTTCAGAATTGTGACTAAGAAAAGGTATTCAATGGGAACTGCCTGTATATTAGTGAACATATATTTCTATAGTAAGCTCTACTGGGGAATTGGAAAATAAGCAACAGCTGCCTTTGCTGACTGGCAGGTAAATGGAGTACACCTATAATTGGCAAGGCAATGCCACGGTCCTAGCAGCTTCTTTGGAAGACAAGAGAATTACCTGTATTTACATTATTTGATTTGCTCAGATGTCCTAGAGCTAAATATGGCTTTCCTGATGCTTCTATATAGCTTAGATGGAAGTGTAGCCTACTAGCAAGAACAATTATTTTCTGACATTTTCATTTGCACTTTCCTTTCCATACAAATATAAACAGTAGTTGCAGGAGAAGGAAATTAAACCTCAAGTACTCTTATTCCTACTTAAAAACTAAGCAGCAGCAAAACATAATAAAACAAAAATGGAATAATACACTCATTTTACAGAGCTAAACAATTCTAAACATGCTATAACAACAGATTAACCCCTGGGAAAGGTGCAAAGGCTTCGTAGTAACTGAATAGCTGAGGGATTACACAATGTTCACTCTTCATTTCTTATATAAGCAGATGTGTCCAACCTATAGGTGCCAGCCTACTCCTAAAGATAGCTACAATATAAAGTAGTTTCCTAACATTTCTTCCAGGTTGTGGTGAGTTAGAATGTTTCTCCCAAGCTCCACAGGTATGATGTCTTTCTCTAAACTCAGATATTGTATCCATTCAGTTTCACAGCCAATGTATAATTGGTCTGGCTATGACTTCATTAATACGATTAAAAGAATGGGCATTATTTCGCAGATTAAACACATGTTCTTAATCTCACAAGTGCAAAAATGACAAAGCTAACCAAGATGACACATAGAATGGGTATATACAGCCTCAATGGAGAGCCATTTGACCTCTCTTAGAAATATCACAGAAATGGTAGATGCCTGGAAGACACCTTCAGGGACTGAGTCCAGACAAGCATAGCCATGTGGTATGTGGTGCCACAGACCTGTCTGTGATGCCACACACCACGCATTCAGGCACCTCCTATGCTGCTACCTTGAAGTGTGGGGATGGCGGGGTGGGGTTGACGCTGGAGATTCCGGGGTCAAAAAAAGCCTGTGTAGAAAAAAAGCGGGGTGGCACACGTGGCTGCAGCGTGCACCAGCCAAAAACAAAGCCCGGCCTGCCGGAGCTACGCTTAGGTTGCCAGCACGGCTCCCAGCTGCAGGAGTCTCACAGCTGCAGATTCCCCAGCCCCCAAGATCCCAGGTAAGGCTGCTGTGGCCAGCACAGTTGCTGGCCCTAGCCTCCCCTACCCCACATGTGGCTTAGGCATTCCCCAGGGACAAGTAACAGTGGCACAGGATGTGCCGCTACTCCTAGTTCATGACAAACCAAATATCCGCACTTGTCTGGACATGGCCAGTAAGGTGTGAATGCTCACTTTTGATCCAGATAAAACATAGACTCTACAGGTACTTACAGGCAATATATTTAGATTGACCTAGCTACAGTTAGGTCAATCTAAATATCCAACTGTGTAGGCATTCAGAGAATTTAAACAGCCCAAAACATGGCACCTGATCAAAATTAATTCACCTCAGGAGGTGCATGAGCCTAGATCGAGAAAGAGTTAAACCAGTCTAGGAAAGGGCCAACCCAATTTTGCTAATGCTTGCATGCATTTGCAGCTCAACCACAGGACAGGGAAAGTCTAGCCTCTTCAGCTGACCCCCTACCCTTACTGGGCTATATTTAATCCCCAGGCCATGACTGGGCAACCATATCCATGGACTCTATTCCCTGCTCCCCCCTCCCTGAGTTACATGGCTCCCAGTGATAGAAAATGCCTGTACACACTGCTCCTGGTCTATGTTTAAGTGGCTTAAAGTAAGCTGCATGAACACAGACTGGGTGCAGTTCATGTGTATTTGGGATAATTCTTCGTATGCTAAAGACCACCCACTTAAAAAAAAGAAATTAACTGTTTGATTACCTAAGGGAAGATATTGGTATAAAAAATATAGTTGTTGGATCCCTACAGATTTTGATCATATAAATTCTATCACTTAGGGAAGTTCATAAATGCTTACTGATTCTCATTGTGTTTGAAAGTGAAACATCATTTTGTTCTAAAATTGCATTGCCCATCTATTACTATTACCATGTATGGGCATGCATGCCTGTACTATGTGTATGTGTAAACTATCTATATCAGCAGCTGCACTCATATACTTAGTTTATGTATATTTATAAAATAAATCCTCTTGTATTTTCATTTTATGTTCTTAAATACATGTCCTTATATAAATATTTTAAGTATAAAATTCTAAACTAGTTTTTCAGTCTTTCAGAAAATATTACGTACCTCTTTCGGCACTGACTACATTAAAAATATTAAAGTCTAATGAAAGCAGTTTACCATTAGTAGGCATCAGACTAATGCTAAAATAAGGTTCAATCCTGTATAAATATCCAGGAAGAGTTTTCTTACAACATGCAGAACTCCACAAGCATATAGGTGTTAAACTGCACAGATTCCCTTAGCAACAGTAGGCCCCTAATTAAGAACGTGCATATGTAATTAGACAGAACTGCCACATTACACAGAATGAAAACAGTATGATTGTTACTCCAAATTACCCAATGACCACTACTAAAAGCTAATCAAAGAGAGATGCATCTTATGTTCCTAGAGCTAATGCTATGCAGGTGACACAATAATTACTAAGTACTTCAGCATGAAATAATTACAGTAGGACAATTGCTGTCCTCAGTTATACTTGTTCAAGCTGGGTGAAATCAGTGGGAATGCACAGGAATAATGAAGGAAACAGTCTAACCATGTAACCCCCAATAAACTGGATTATCCAAAGAAAAATCTAAGTCTGTATTTCTACTAAAATAATAAAACTGTGTACGTTTTCAGAAGTCTGCTATTTTTGCTTACATGACAAATTATTTTCTTTACAGATGTTTAAACATTTCCTAAATATTTAAATAATAAATATGTGATATAGCTGTGGGCCAGCTGTATGTTTTGGTCTCTTAAGATTTTCTTTCTTGTAATGCTTTTACTATATCTTGTACAGATATAAATTTCTCATATAAAATATTTATAATTAACACATTACCTCAGATCCTGAGTTTTAACCTAGACCTACACTGCTCAGGAAAGGTTTGCTAGGATGGTCTTTATGCCTAGGTACAGACATGATACCTATTGCATGCAGAAAGCACTCTATAGCTGTAACAGAACAGACATTCATGGCTCATAGAGCATTTTTAAAATGGTGGATCCCACTCTAAGTTAACCCTCGATGGATGTGCTATCAGACTAAAGCGCTTTAGGTTAGAGTGGTTTTTTGAACGTCTGAGCTATATCCCATTAGGTGTTAAACTAGATTGCACTTGCTAGCATCCCAGAGGCCCCTTGCAGGGCAGCATGCTCACCTCAGGCAGAACTTGTCTACTCTGCCTGAGCACTGGGCTAGCCCTGCCCCCTCAGCTGTCACTGACCTGAGTCAGTGACAGCCTCTGATTCTAGTCCCATGTCCACCCTCCAGCCGGCTGTGAGCTGTGGCCTGGCAGGGGCGGGGAGGGGAGAAGGCGGATTTCTGTCTGACCAGCCACCCCAGCCCTATGATGTGCTGCAGCCAGGCCAGGGGGCTTCTTTGCTCCAGCTGCAGCCAGGAACTGCAGTGCAGTGCCACCTTTCACCATGCAAGGAACTGTGGCAGGGCAGGCGGTAAAAAAGGAGCCCCACTGCCAGAAGCGCTACCCCAGCTTCCCAACTTGGGTCTCGATGAGTGCTGGGCTGGGCCAGATTCCTGCCCCCCAAATCGGGGAGGGGGGGGTCTTTTTCCACCCCTCCCCCTGCCAGAGTTCCTGGTGCAGCAAAAGCAGCACAGCCCCACATTACCACTCCAGCTGACTTTCTGTGTGGAGCCGGGTTTTGAGCAGAGGGGGGGACGTGTGTGTGTGTGTGTGTGTGTGTGTGTGTGTCTTCACCCTGACCCCACTGGGGCCATGGCACAGTGGAGCAAGGAGTAAAGGTGCCACTGCTGGCATTCGGTGAGGCATGGGACATGCACATACATGTATGTGTGTGCGTGCATCCATGTGTGCGTGGGTCTCCAGCCTGGCTCGGAGTGGGGCCATGGCATGGTGGGAACTGGAGCTGCTACCACTGCCACTTCCACTGCTGCTGGCATTTGGCAGAGCATAGGGCTTCGGTGTGTGTGTGGATGCATGTGTGTATGTGAGGTCATGGTGCATCAGGGCAGGGAGCACAGCAACTGCTGCTGCTGCTGTTCTTGCTTGGTGGGGTACAGGACTTAGTGGGGAGTGCCTTTGTCCAGGCTGGCCTGAGTGATCCTGTTCTGAACCCCTCTTACCTCCTCCCCAGTCTATGGCAGATCCCAATAGGACAGATGCCTTCATCCCCCATCACGGTTCTGAGATGACTGTGGGCCTGCCTCTGCTGGAATTTGGCAGACAGGCTCCTCTG